TGGGGGGGGGGGGCAGTGAGATAATCAGCACAAGGAGAACCATTCTCCAACTCAGCAGGAACAAAAGCTCCCTGCAAGGGTGTGTGTGTGTGTGTGTGTGTGTGTGTGTGTGTGTGTGTGTTGATAACCCAGTAGAGTCAGCAGGATCAGAAACCTCCCCAGAGAGTTGGGGAGTGGTTTTGTGTTTTTCGCGGTAGGTTTGGAGATGCATTGCCTTTGCCAAGGTACAGTTTATGTCTAGTGTGTGTGTGTATGTGTGTGTGTGTGTGTGTGTGTGTGTGTGTGTGTGTGTGTGTGTGTGTGTGTGTGTGTGTGTGTGTGTGTGTGTGTGTGTGTATGTGTGTGTGTGTGTGTGTGTATGTGTGTGGCTGTGTCTGATCCATGCCTATTGACTGCTGTGGAAAGCGGTACCAAAGAGCCACAGCCTGTGTTGCTTGTCAGAGCAGACAGCAGTGGTAGAAATACACTACATGGAAACAAGCATTGTACTTTAGTATGATCTTGAGGTACTTCAGTTGTACTACTGCACTTTCATTTTATGCTACACTTCATTCTTGACTCTACATTACGGAGGGCAATATTGAACATTTTACTCCAATACATTAATCTGACAGCTTTAGGTACTAGTTATTTTGCACATTAACATTTCATATTCAAAACACAAAAGCTGCACTTAGTAACTTTAAGCAAGTGCGATAAAAAGTTATTTTTATAAAGCATCACTATATCCTGACAGTAGTACATGAGACAGATAATCTGTGAAAAAAAATACAAGTTCCTCTGCCTCCTGTTAGTGCTTCTAATGGCATATGCAAGATTCCACCACGCCTGGAGGAAAACAACCAATTAGAGCCGAGGAGTCTCTGACGCAGCTGTCAATCACTGCTGGGGAAGCTTGTGAACTCCGATCAAACTTTCAAACTAGGCCAGCGCTGATCAAATATGAATCAAGACTCTGTTACTGTACAGCCTATTTTGAGAAACATCTTTTAGTTAATTAACTGTTTAGCTGTAAAATGAGAAGGTTTGCTGCGGTCAGTGGGCGGTGCTTGGCTTTGGCTCGGCTGCTTTCGGTATGGCGGCTGAGATTTTTCTCAAATTACAGCTTCTGATTGACACTGCGTTTCATTGCTCATTTTATGTTGTTATATTCTATTCTAATTTAAATATTTTGAATATCTGTTTATACATTTTCCATGTGTATAGCGGGGAGGGGGCTACAACTGCATTTCTTTGTGCAATCCAGTATTGTACAATAATGAATCCTTGAATCCTTAAATTAGAACTGGGTATTTAAAGGGAAAGCAAAGTGGAACTGTGAAATTATTTCTCAGTTTCTTCAGTGGTTTCGGTAACCTGGTGGCACTGTTGGATCACAACAAACCAGAATTCTCCTTTAAGTAAAAAAAAAAACGAGTGCGAGACTTGGGGAAAATGTCGAAATATGTTTGTACTCTACACTTCTCCTTTGATGCATAAAGACAGGACGAAAAGAGATAAAAGCCAAGTTAAGGATTATGGGTCAGTGTAATTTCCTTCATCTGCTTTGGTTCCTGCAGGGAGGCCTTTTGGAGATATTAACTGTAAAACAGTCTGTCTGGGGCTGAAGAAAACAAAGATGAAGGGATTCCCAGTAATACCTTTGTTTCGTTCCTCCTGCCTTGTGTTCTAACTGAATGATTTTCCGTCTCTTTGTTTTTCTTTCCCTCCGCCTCTCTCTATATGCTTTGAATCTGTCTCTCTGCCTCCCTCTTGCTGGTCTTTATTATCATTCCTCCTGTGATTCAACTGATGAATGGAGGGACTTTTGTGTGTCCTTTCGGGGGGGAAAGTAATTTGTATTCTGCTCCTGACTTCCTACTTTCTGCCTTCCCTTTCGTCCCCCTCTTTTTCTTTTTCCTCACAATAACAAGGGATGGTACATGAGGTTATTGAGTCTCCCTCGCTCACACATCCTCCCACAATGGTCACCTTCAAAAAGACCTTGCCATATGGGCCGGGCCATCTGGACTGTACCATGTTACAGTCGGTAGGGGAGGGGATGAGAGCCTCGTCGGGGGAGATATTAAGGGGCGGTTACAGTGAAACGCTCACCGAGCAGCTGAACCCTCTTGAAAGCCTTGATGAGTAGTCCATCCTAAGTTTATAAAGCAGCCTGGTGTTAAACAAGTGTGTTCTCATGGGAAGGATCAGTGATGGGAGTCCTCAATAATTCAGAGAGGAAATTCAGGACTGGCCCCACCATTAAACAAACACATGCATCACACTGGTCCAGGCCATTAAGGCTGCTGCTTAGTTTATGATGGTAATCGCATCCACACACATGCAGCTTATAGATAATTTACTCCACAGGTGCAACAACACTACAAATATCTTGTGTTTTCTGTGAAACCAAATCTTTCTCTTTCTCTCCGTCTTTTTCATTTTAGGGATCGAGCTTTGTTTGCCAGCCTGGCGTTTCTCCATGACCATGGTGGCCAGTTTTCTGATGGTGGGCGGGCAGCTACTGATGCCAGGGTTGGCCGCTCTGTGCCGCAATTGGCCGGACCGCGATGACTGGCAGGTCCTGCAGATTGTCATTATCAGCCCTTTTGTTCTGATGCTGCCCTACGTCTGGTGAGTCCCGCCCTCTGAGGAAATCCACAGCAGGGGGGGGAAGGGGGGGTGGGCAGATTCTTCTCTCACTGAGCCAGGCGATGGCTTGTACAGTACACACTGCACCTCACAGTACTGCGCAGCCTCTGCTTGAACTTACAAACAATACTCTCTTTCTTCTATTGTTTCCCTTCTTCCCCCCCATTTCTGTCTGTTTCCTCCTCTTGCTCTTACAAATCTGTTCTCACCCTTCTCTTCTCTTCCATGTCCTTCCCACTCCTCTCTCTCGCTCACTCACCAGGCTTCTTCCAGAGTCGTTGCGCTGGTTGCTGGCCACCCAGCACTACAGGCGGTCCAAAGTCATGATGCTGCGTATCGCCAAGAAGAACCAGGTTAACATGACAACCGAGCCACATGGAGTTCTGTTAGGTGAGGGGCATTAAACAAGATGAAAAATCCTGTGAATCTTTTTGCTTTATTCACTTCATAATGCAAATTATTTCACATCGTCATCTGTGTTGTGTTGCAGCCGCCTCTTGGCGTGTGATGAAATGAACATGCAACGAACACAAAGACACCGATTCACATGCAAAGTCTCAAAGATCCCCTTTCAATATGTGCAACCAGGCTGTAGTTTGCAATCGCACATACATGCTAAATCAATGAAGATCAAAAAAGTCTGATTTCTGTCCGAGACATAATGACCATTTTCATTTGAGTTTAATCTGTTTTGCAATTCAATATTTTATTATAGATGCCAGGAAACAGTGAAAACTGCCCATCACAATTTCTTAGAGCCCAATGTCATGTCTCGCTTGTTTTGTCGGATCAGCAGAACAAAACCCAAAGATATTAAAGACACAATATCAATGGGCAGTAAATTATCACTTTTGAGAAGCGCGAGTCAGTTTGAGGGATTTTTTTTATTACTTGATAAATGACTGGATGAATGGAGGATGAAAAAAGTCAATTAATTGTCCTTAAAGGATTTACCTTACCTCTCCCCCTTCTCACCGACTTCTCCTCCTCCCCTGCCCTGGCGATACATTCAGTGTTCATGCCTCTCCCAGTGGCCAAGCAGACCGACAGACAGACGATGAGTGTGTGCAAAGGGATGTGCTATCCATCTTAAGGTCCCAGAGCACATTAGCTTCTCTGAGCTAAAGGCCCCTTAGCGGCCGGCCTCTCATTACCTTCTGCAGGGAAAGGTCTCAAGGTGTGCGTTTCATGTTTCCTACCAGAGCTGGAGCAGGAGCTGCACAAGAAACCCCAGCCGACCTGTATTGTGAAGATGATGAGCACCAGGAACCTGTGGAAAAACATTGTGGTGCTGTGTGTGAACTCGTAAGTGTGTTGTGGCCGGGCTGGTACAGTTCCTTTTTGTTCATTGAAAAAAACGACATCCGTTGTGTTGAAAGAGCATGAATTACACATGGGCTCATCCTCCAGAGAGACATGAGGACATGTATGTGAGAGTAAACCTCACTGGCCCCGTGGCAGACGCATGTCTCAGGTACCACCTCGCTGTCCGCCTTCCAATTGTGTCTCTGTGTTGTTTGTGCAGGCTGACGGGTTACGGGATCCACCACTGCTTCGCCCGCAGTATGATGGACCCGGAGGCTCAGCCCACCGCTTTGTGCCACGCGGACTATTACACGATGGCTGGCATCGCTGTGGCAACCTGCCTGGCGGTTTGCCCCGCGGTGGGGTTGATGGGTCGGCGTGGAGGGCTGCTCACCTTCATGATCATTACAGCCCTGGCCTCCCTACTACAGCTGGGTTTACTCAACTGTGAGTACTCACACACAAGTCCTGCAACACTCACTGCGACACCTGTATACGCTTTGCATTCAAGGGTTGCACCTGTGCAGGTTACAATGATAAAACTCACTCAAAGTTGGGTGTAATTTTTGGAAAAACGAGTGTTTGATTTCAGACAAGTAAACAGCTTTGGTTGATGGCATCTTTTATCAGCTGTAGCTAGCTTGCTAAATAACGTAAAGTATGTGAATTGTTGTATTGCAAAAGTCCAAGACAGAAAAATCAGTTCAGAAAGTTCTGAAAGTTATTGCAAAAGTTGAAATTTGACGGTAAAGTGAGTTGGACATTTTGCATCCCTGTGTCATTAAAACGGTGCAGACTGCAGTTCTCCCTTTTTTTGACCTACATGTGCAGTACAGAAGTCATTATTTCAGACCTCAGTGGTAAACTGTTCAGAGTTCTCCTGAAGGCTTTTTTCCCCCCATTCTGCTTGTTTATGAGTCAGCACTGTGCTGCCCTTCGTGCTTACTAATGACATGTTCTCCTCTCTCCGACGCTCGCTAATGGAATCCAGTGATTGGCAAGTACAGCCTTCGCCATGACACAGGTACAACTACAGTTTGTTGATTTGGGATATATTTTAGTCTAGTTTTAAGGTCCCTGTGCAATAACGTCTTTGGCTTTGTTGAATACTCGATTCTGATTGGTCAGTTGTGGCATATGGTCTGTTATTTCTTTATAGCAGAGCTCTGCTATGAATAACAGACCATTGCTATGGACGCAGTTCTAATCTCCATACAGAGCGAGCGGACTGTTTTTTTTTTTTTTTTTATCGGAAGCAATAAAATATATTTTTTTAAATCAATAAAATCATTTGTGATAATGTATAGGGAGACGGTCATTTTTGCGAAGTGAACCCCGACAGGGATGAGCATGAATCTTGAATCACTCTGAAGGACCTCACTGTACATTATCACTTACTTAAACACTAATTTATGCCTCTGGCTTGTGTTAAATCATCAGCTGCTTGAGTTTTTCATGTCGGGTGTTTCTGGTGTACTTACGTTTTCTTGCCCTCCTCTGGACAGTTCTGCGAGACACTCTGAACAGGAAATTCTCGGTGGCCTTCTCCATCATCGGCATGTTCTCCTCTCACGCGGTCAGCACACTCAGCATATTCTTTTGTGCTGAAATCACCCCGACTGTCATCAGGTGAGCCTGGATGGTCATAAACACATAATACAACCCTTTGGGGAGCCTTCTGCAGGGGGCGAGCTCCAGGCTCTACTCAAAGGCATTTCTTATTTGTTACCTACAGTGAACCATCTACTATGGGCCATTTTAGTTGATTGAAGTGTGAAATACGTGCACTACACACTCTCCACAAAAATGGCCACATTTCATTAAAAGAAAAATGTGATGAATATGTATTATGAAAGGAAGAGTGAATAACTTGATTTGTTACGTTTAATTGACAGTGTGATCCATGTCTGTCTGTCAGCACACGTGAAATAATATTTTCCTGTTAGTACAAAATGGTGAAGTAGGCCTACATTGATTTCTTGTGTACCAACTGCAAAAAACAGTATACTATGCCAATTACTGTACAGTCCATACTGGGTACCTTTGGACAAAGCCCTTGTTCTCGTGTTGCTTATTAGCTCCATCTTGTGGTGCAGTTTTGACTGGCAGGCGAGGTGACTGGTGAGCCTGAAAGTACTTGCAAAGGGTTCAGTATGCTTCTAACGAACTAGTGCATACAAAGTATGGGCCAAAGGTGTCTAAAAGTACTAGTCTGAAAAGTCTGCCTCAATAGAGACGGACAGAATGAACCGCAACATACATCTACATAAACTTGATAATAAAAAGTCACTTCATAAACCTGTTCAGTGGTAACACAATCTGCCACACCTCTCTCTCTCTCTCTCTCTCTTCCCCCCCCCCCCCAATGCAGGGGTGGAGGACTGGGTCTGGTGCTGGCCAGCGCCGGCTTCGGCATGCTCACCGCGCCCATCATGGAGCTCCACAACCAGAAGGGCTACTTCCTGCATCACGTGATCTTCGCCTGCTGCACCCTGCTGTGCATCATCTGCCTGCTGCTGCTGCCCGAGCCGCGGGGCCAGCCCCTGCCGGAGAGCCTGGCTGACGGAGAGACCTTCACCCGACAGACGCTGCTCCATCCAGGAGAGCAGCATCTCCTACTGGCCAAGATGGACGGGGAGTACGCCCGCGTCCACGACACGCCCTTACACCTCACGACCACCGGGGGCGCTACGGTGGCAGCAGCAACCGCTCTGGCAGCGGTGCCCGCCTCATACGCCCTGGCCACTGGCGGGGAGGTGATTGGAAATTGCGCCATAGCCAACGGGGTGTGAGCATCCTAGCAATAGTCTACTAAAGTATTGCTTTAGCATTAATCTGAACTGAATGGTCGTTTAATTTGTGAAAGAAAAAAAAAACTTTTAAGGGAAAATAAAGAATCTTTCGGATGAACCAGATGAACTCTTTAACGGTGACGAGAATACATTGGTGTAGTTTGTAGTGACTATGATTCATTCAGGAGTTGCCAAAAAAAAATATTGTACTGGACCAAGTCTATCTGAAGTCCGTGTGTGTTAAATAATATGAAAGTCTTGAGTGGTGTTGGTGATGTTCTTGCACAGCCGTCCGCTCCGACGAGAATGATTTACAGGTCAAAGGAGCAGACAAGTGAGGAGGCAAACCAGCTTTGAATAACGCGTGCTCTGTGAGTTTTCTGTTTGCAGTTTTGAGTCGCTGAGAGGATTCCACTGCATCTTATAATTCTTTATAAGTTATTTTTGCACTAAATGTCAGAGACACAATCAAGTGTTTGTGATTTTCAGCCAACTTGTTTTGAGGATTGGCTAAACCACTACCACTCTATTTTGCATGAAAGGGCACAAATGTTTTTACATGTTTTCTCGTATATATTTGTGGTCCCTCTACTAGAAGTCCAATGTGGCACTTTATCCTCAGAGACGAGGTCATGTTTAGACACTGATTTTTAAAGAAAGCATTACTGCTACTGGTGCGGGTGTATGATGGTTGTCTGATGTGACGAACAGCCGGAGACCTTGGCAGACTCGTATGCATGTAGCCTGTGGAGAGAATAACGCTGATCAAATCTGAGAGTTGAACGGACCGAAGAGTGACCAGTCAGTGTACTATACTGTATGTCCTATGACGCTTCTCAGCATTTTAATGGCTTTATCGTGATGGCTCTGTTCTTTTTTTTTTTTTTTAACAAAACAGAGAATTGCAATTCAAGAAAACCAGTATTTATTTTGTCACGCTGCCAAGGGCAATTTTGTTGCTTGAAATACCTCCTTAGCAGATATTTCCACTCTCACTCCTTGTTCTCCTGTACTGTGGTAATGTTGTAATCCTGCTGCTAGGATGTGTAACTATAGCCAGAAAGCACAATATTTTACAGGTCGTTTTTAAAATAAACATTTGTGTAGATTAGAATAGAGCAGCGCAGTCTGCACAGACATTGTGATTGGTGTACATAAATAAACTTTACTACGTAAGTATCCCTTAGGACTGCATAAAAATGTAAGGTACGTATACATGTACCATTCATTCCTAATGTATGGACCATCAACCTTACTTTTATAGGATACACGATCATTGAATAGATAAACCATTTTTCATCCCTATAGACCATATTCATATTTAGTACACAGCACGTATTTTGAACACCCTGTACGGTTTTACTAGTTTGTATGTTTTCAACAGTTAAACACTCGGAGAAAAAAAACAAAACTCAACCACTAAATGCTGTTTTCTAAGTGGTATTTTTTTAATACGACACATTTGTACAAAAAGCCATAGGCCTACATGTTTTGATAATAAACCACTTAATTTATTATGTCAATAAAAGAACACTTGATGTGACAGTTTGTGGTTTTTTGTGTTGGAGTACCGTTACAGTATCTGCAGGAGTATGGGAACTCCACATAGAAGGAGAAGGAGCTTTTATGTTGCCCGTCTTCCTACATGTCGTCAGTTCTACACAAAGTTCAATAAACAATCAAAAGTGTTCCGGGTGAAGCTCCACCTCCTTTTTGATCCTGCTCTCCACCAAGAGACTGATGTTGGAGTTCGTCATTGGAAGACTGTAACTCACATATACTTGCTTTTTGGTCTTCTTCGCTGCAAAACAGACAGACACAGACCATTATTTGTTATAGTAGACAATTACAATGAAGTCATCAGTCTTGGAGGTTGTGGAGATCCAAAAGGAAGTGTTTTTAATAGACCTCGTCACTGTTTTGCATGTTTTAGCCTTTTCGATACAATATATGTATCGTATTTACAAACATTGTACAAAGCGTGCCACAAGATGTTTGTGTGTTTATCACACATTTAAGATCAACTTGTGAAGAAGACTTTGTTTTGACATCTATATCAAAGTGAAAATTATCGCTTTTAAAATATAACCACATAACATCTGAAAACAGCGCTCCATAACTTTTTACATTATCAGCAATAATAAAACAAAGTCATGCATCATTACCTAGTCTCTGTGCCATGGAATTTGGAGCGGTATTGGATGGGTCCCCCATGACTAATGTAGATAAAGGCATCGAATCCTGCAGACGAAAAAACAATGAGCAGAACAGCAGTTAGTCTCTTAAATCATTAGCGCTCTCACATCCAAAATAATGTTTGACTTTATTAATATCTGTCGTCAACCTAAATGATTTCCAAATGAAGGCAAGAGACCGTAAACTGAGGACAGTTCAGTTGTCTCTGTGGTTTGTGGTAGTCAGACGATGTATTGTACTTTGGGCAGCAGATGTATTATATTTTGCCTACTAAGGACCCTAATAATACCGAGTCATCGGGACAACACCTTCCTCTTTAAGGATCAACACATCCAGATCACAACTAAACCACGTTTCTCTTGTGGTACTTAGCCATGGATGCCAGAGATAAGCACTTTAACACAACACAATACCTATTAGCCTAAGTCTTAATGGAAACAACAATCAAACAGGAATGTCTATTTTGGATAATCTTGGATAATCATCATTACACTGGTGCAAAATGTATTTAAATTCATTACTATAAAACATCAGTCCTACTTCTTGTTACGATACTGCCCACAATGGCCTCCAAGCTTTGGAGATATACTGTACTGTAAAGGGATAAGTACTACAGTATGAACACTAAAGAAAAGATAATCTCAAGCTTTATATTGTAACATCGTCGACTCCTAATAAATGCAGAAAGTTTCTTTTGTATTTTGCAACGGTTTGACATTTCAGTCACTGAAACTTTTGTCATTAACCCAATACAAAATGAGCCAAACGGAATTAAAATGTGTACCCGCAAAAGAGTTGAAAAAGTAAAAAATAAATAAAAACAAAATAGCAACAAATCTTGACAGAAAAGTTCCTCAGAGCAATCCACTCTCTGGAACGTAGACCTCACTGAAAAGGGTTTGCAGCGATGATAACATGTCTTTTATTTATTACTGTGTGGACTAAAACTGTGGAACAGTCTGCCCACAAATATATAACAAATAACGTCAGCAAATTTATTTAAGAAGTATCTAAACACTTGTTTTTTTTAATCTTGCAGTAGAGTCGCAGTATTATTTTGTTGCTTGCCCATTTTATTGAATCTTACTAAAATGTTTTATTTTCTAACCTGTTGGAAATAGGTTTGTTTTGCAACATTTGTACCTGTTAAACCTTTTTAAACATGTTTAATGCAGGTAAATGGAAAGCACATTGACCTGGATCGTGTGAATGAAAGAAATTATTGTCACTATTATGATTTGGGTGAACTTACTATTGAGGCCTTTAACCAGTGCCTCAACATGACTACAGAGTCCACACATATAATAGTCCAAGTGCAGTAAAAAAGCGATTTAAGACCTACAGTCTATGGTTAGAACATTTCCCTCTGAGATGTAGTGCAGAAGTATGAAGAAGCATGAAAAGAAAATACTCCAGTAAAAAACGTTGTACTTAAACAGAGTACTTGTGTACTCACATATCTGCTGCCCATCGAGACCGCCAGGTTGGACAGAACCGGACTGGAGCCGACCCACAGGAAGAACCCTCCGCTGAGCTTCATCACGTGAAAGTGTATGACCTGCTCCAAAATCCTCTCCGAAAAATTGTGCACCGTTATGGCCTCAAACACCTCTCCGTTTCGTGCGTCGTTCATTTTTGTGTAACTCTTCTCTACCTGCATGTACACAGAGAAGCCTAGCAACCACTCGAGCTCGTGCTAGCTACAAACAGAAACAGCCAGCTACTTCCTGGTTAAAGAACAGTGGCAGCCCGAAGCAATCGATCGTCAATACGCAGATGTGAACATGTCCAACTCACATATTTAAATCTGCTTTTTGTTTGTTAGTTATAATGTCATCTCCCTGCCTTGTTTATGCTGTTATTGCTTTCATTGTTTCCGTTTTTACCAAATGAATTGCCTTTGAGTACATGTTTAAGCGCATATTCAAATAAAACGTACTATTATTACATCCAAGGAAACACCAGGGCCCCTCGTACCTGGCTAACTGAGCTTGAACCTGCTCCAGCGCAGGCTAATTTAAATTAGCTGGATAAGCTTGCCACTCCCCCGGGAAAAATGGCAGCTCCCTTCCTCAGAGATCCCATTGATCAAGGAGCGATATTAGTTAGATTAGCGTTTTATAGGGAGAGAGTTCTTCGAGATCGCCAAGATCCGTTATCACATCATGATGACTTCCTGTACGAGCGCTATCGATTCTGCCGACAAGGAATCATTTATTTACAAGACCTTCTGGAGCCATGCATTGCGAACACCACACGCCGCAGCCGAGCACTGACTGTCTCACAGACTGGATGCAGCCTTGCGCTTTTTTGCGAGTGGTAAATTTTTGTACAGTATCGGCGATGCGGAGAACATCGGGAAAGCCGCTGCATGCCGTGCTGTTCGTAAAGTTTATTTGGCGCTTAAGAGACTTATGGATGTGTTCATTACATTCCCTGGCCATGTGCGAGTAAATTCAATCAAAGAGGGCTTTTATGGAATTGCAGGTAATTGAGTTATTCAATATTTCACCATTTAATGAAAATGCATTCCTATCACTATTCATTACGGAGCTTATCATTATGCAGAGTTTCCCAATGTCATTGGCGCAGTGGACTGCACGCAGATCCCCATCAAATCGCCCTCTGGCCCAAACGAGGCAGATTTTGTCAATGGAAAAGGCTTTCACAGCATTAATGTGCAGGTACTTATGACATAATTTTCCTCAAATTACATTGCTATAAAAACAATCGTATGTCTTTGACAATAGGGGTCATGGACCTTGCAATTGCCTGCTGTAGGCTACCCATGTACTGTACAATACCCATGACTTGACCGCAATTCATCTTAGATGATCTGTGACTCCACCTGCCTCATAACACATGTTGTGGCCAAGTGGCTGGGCTCCGTCCAGGACTCCAGAATATTCCGAGAGTCTACACTGTGCCACAGCTTCGAGCAAGGTATAGCAAATACCATGTCATTCAGAAATTGCTTATTTTATGTAGAGATGATCCAACATTGTACATATCATATACTAGGTCACTACGATGGACTCCTAATTGGAGACAGGGGTTATGCCTGCAAGCCCTACCTCATGACCCCCTATGCAGAGCCAGCACCAGGCCCTCAAGCCCGTTTCAACGGGGCTCTTGCTTGAACGAGAGCCTGGATTGAAATGACCTTCGGCCAACTGAAGGCCAGATTCACATGTCTGCGGGGGCTGCGGGTGGCACCAGACAGGGCATGTGACATCACTGTGGCATGTGCAGTGCTCCACAATGTGGCTACAATCACGAAGGAGAGGGTCCCAGTTATCATGGACCATCCTGAGGATGACCTAGAGCCAGTACACTTGGATGAGCAGACCGCACCGGCTGCAAGGGACAGAATTGCCCACCATCATTTTAGTTAGGTGTATATTTTGTATTCATATTATTAATTAATCAGTAACTTAAGTTGTTAAATAAATGTAGTGAAGTCACAGAAAATGGAAACACTAAAGTAAATTGCAAGAAGCCTAAGTTCAGTAAATGTATTTAGTTACATTCCACCACTGCTTTGAGTAAATTAAACATTAAATATAAATCATCATGTAAATTAACTTAGGCACCACTTTAAAGGAGGGCTTATAAGTTGTAAGTGATGTTTTCTATTCATGCTAATAAATCATTTTTAATGTGAAATCATTAAAATGTGTCTTGTAATCACCAAAGTTAGCCTCTAATGTAACTGACTTTTCATGAATGTATTCTGCGGGGCTTTGCGAGGAACACAAATAACAACTAATGATACTGACATTTTACAATATCTTAACTTCAGTTCTGCAAGGCTACGGCTATTGATACAGCTGTATAGTTTAGATTTGCATTAATCTTTGTATTAGCCACAATTACAACAAATATTATGAAGTTACATAATATGAGAAATAAGTGATTTACTTGAAAAAAAATAACTGACGTCTTCAAGTAATATACAACAATTGATGCTTCAAAAAAACAGTAGAATTTAGACATTTATCAAAATGAAGCGTAATTATTTGCAGTCACTCTGGTTCTTCTCCACAAAAGGATCATCATAATTTCACAGTTTTAATGAATTGATTGATTCATTTATTAATTGTCTTCCAGAAAGTCTTCCACCAGTTTGTTGAATTCATCAGCGTACCTCAGGTGGATATTGTGTTTACCCTCTGGCATCAGGTGTAATCTAGATTCAGGACAGAAAAAAAGAGGCTATACACGTCACATGTTTTTTTCCTGAATTTAAGGTAATCATCACGTTGTTGATATTTAAGTGTGTGTGTGTGTGTGTGTGTGTGTGGGCAGTCTCACCGTGATCCCTTGATGTGTTTGAGGAGACACTGTGGGTGGAAGCTGGGCACCATGGGGTCTTTCTCTCCATGGATGATGAAGGTTGGACAGCTGATTAGGGGCAGAAGCTCCAGGCAGATACTCCCTGACCGGAGGACATTTAGGTTAACATTTTGGCTTTTATCTTTTCATCTGCATTACATTATCAATACTTTACAAACATCAATAAGCAGCTTCCTTGATAAGTGCATTATGACAACAAAGCATTCCTCCGCGATCTCTTGATTTGATCATTTCTGATGGTTTTCAGTTTTAACTTGACTTGTGTAATGGATCGGAAACAACATGGATTCAGTACCTTCCGGTCTTTCTGCATACTGTGCAAACCCATCCCCCCAGGCCTCCCAGGTTTTAGCAAAGGCTTCTGCTCCATACACATCCTCCATGGGCTTCCTCATCTTCGCACTCCATTTGGAGACGTCTCGGACCGCTGCGTGTTCCCACAGAGACCCATGCGCACACATTATACAAAGTTATGAATGATTACACCAGGCACAGTGCACACTGTTTGGGACTACACTGGTAGATTACCATTGTACAGCTTGAGGTCCTGCTGGGAAACAAAGGCATTGGCTCCCCATACAACCATCTTGCTGATCACGTGGGGGTGCCTCGCTGCTGCGATCATAGCGGTGATTCCTCCGTCACTCCACCCCAGCAGAGAGAACTTGCCAAAGCCTAATGCCTGTAAAATGAGAGATGTTATTCATCACTGACAAAGTCTATATTGTCTCATGTGCAACAAATACACTAAACAATGAACAAACAGACCTGAATTAGCTTTGATTCTTCTCATCACACAGTTTGGTGATCAAAGCACATATTTGCTAGACGGTGAACTACATATGGCAATACAAATTATAAAAAGCTGCTGTAAACATGTATGTGCATGGGTTGCTAAACCGATAGCATGGATTAAGAAACTGTGTGCTTGATTTAGCAGTCGGGATTATTTATCAGTGTCAGAAACACAGTGAGAGAGCTTCCTGTTTATAGCAGCCATTTAGAGATTAGCTAAGTACAATTCAGAGGAGGTATCTTAAGGTATAATTTGTGCTTCAACATAAAGAGTAATCTTGCCACATAAACATGCTTTGACTGACTTTTAAAAATGTATATTAAGTGCATCATAAAGGAAGTTATAGTGTGTTCATTATTAGTCTGAAACCAGTTTTTACCCCCTGCTTTCATTTAGCTGGAGAGACAATTTAGAACTTCCTTATATGACTTTCTCTCCACAATTATAATTTCCCAATTACTATTCTGAATGCATGACATGTATTCCAGCAACTTGCTTCAAAGTGTTATTCAATTGAGCATTCAACTCATCAATTCATGCTCTCACATTCACACACCCATTCTACTCTTAGATAACTATGCAATTCATGCCGGTAATAATGATCAACAATGATCAACAGACGGATAAGACCTTCATCAGATCCACTGCGTCCTTTGCATCCCTCTCAAAGAAGTCAGGGGGGAAGTCTCTGTCCGGTGGGCGGGACTGTCCGTAACCACGGGGATCCCAGCCCACGACAGTATAACGCTCCTTATTCAGAGACTTCAGCTGAGGTCCAAAATCAGTCCGAGTGCACCCTGTGGTAGAAGAGACCAAAACAAAAAGGCTTTCAACAAGCTCTAGGGGATGAACACATTTGGGACATGAGGCAGAGATACTGTATGTGTGAGAGTGATTTTGCCAGAAGGTCCAAGAAGAGGTATGTTGTTGTTGTTTTTACCCAGAGCACCGGGAAGCAACAGCACAGCGTGTTTCCCTCTGCCCGTCTGCTCGTAGTACAGATCCACTCCATTAACACGCTGCCTGCCTGAGGCCACCGAAGAGCTGCGGGGAAACAGACAAGCAGACTGTGGCAGTAATGGTCATGGTGATGGATGTAACAACAGAACAGCTCTGTCTGGTGAAAAACACTGGCTTTCATTTTGGCAGTCACAGCAAAACCAAATATGACCAAAAACTACAGCCATGACAACATGACAACATGACTGTGTTGTTCTTGTGTTTCATTAGTGTTCAGAAAAGTTCGATCAGCGGCTGCGACTCATGCTCAACATCCTGGTTCCCCATCGCCCTCAATGACAGCTTTAAACATTCTTGTAATTTTGAATGAATCTTGACAACATTGTTGTGTTATTACAGCCATGTTACTGTAAATGTGACGGTGTTTTGTCCTCGTTTCTCCGTTTGCACCTCCAGGTCATTGGGACTTGCTGTTAAACATGACTCATGCTGTGAAGGAAGGCCCCTCTGAGCTGAACATGCCAGCAACGATACTTTAAGAAAACAGGAAGCTGCACGGAAGATGACTGCATTCTTTGATAAAGCGTCACTGAATTAGAAAAAATAGTTGCATGGGAAAATGCTGCAGCCGAGAAGAAGTCTTGTGGACTTGTGCAGATATTGTGTCGAAATGTCAACATGGATAAGATCCTGTAGGATTTTAGCAGGACATCTTCCACAGACGGCTAAAGCTGTTAACTCAACACAGAGTTCTGATCAATCATCATTTTTACAGCAATGATTTACATTGAAGAAAAGAGCCATATATTTTATATAAATAATATGTATTATATAAATAATATGTATTATATAAATAATACATATATAAATGTATGATTGTATTCTCATAGACCATGTCGAAGAGTAATTAGTCTTCAATTTTGTCTAAGAAATGTTGTTTTTTGGAGGAGTTATGCATCTCATCATGTATTAAAAGAACAAAGCAGTGTTTTTTGTAGATATACCTGATTAGAGAGGGGGATGTTGCCATACTGTTTCAGTTTAAATAGTCTTCTTCACTTGACTATTTAATAATGGGATTTCATTTTGTTTATAAGAAAGCATTTTTATTCCTTTTTCATTTTGAAAATATCCACTCTTACATTGTAGGCTTGCTAATGAAAATATACCATATAATAATACGTGTATCAGCAACTAAAATACTACTACTAATACTGATAGATACGATTAGATTGGTTAACAATAGAGACTACAGCAGAATGTGTACTGCGTTTATAAATTCTCACAATTTCTGCAATGCTATTTCGTGCATACTGTATATGGTGCACTACCTGCACACACTGCGCCATCTAGTGGCAACAAATCAAACAATCCTTCAGAGAAACTCTGCTAGAAGGACGAACATGCTGCAAACAGCAGGGCTGGCATTTCCTGCTGTGGTTTTGTTTTTCACTGCAGCACTCCGTGGTTAAAGTCCAGGCTTTGAATGTGCGAATTTACATTTAAATATCAAATTGAAAACTGTTACCAGTACAGCTGTGCAGCGGTCGTGGCTCTCCTCGTGACGGTTCTGCGTGTAAAGAAACGTCCTCGGAGTAAAAACAACGCCATTCCTCGGACGTCCTCGCAGACCGAACCGTTCTGCTGCAGGTCTTCTTTAGGTGGTTAAAGGTTAAACTTTCCAGTGCTGGATTACATGTCTTCAGCCAGAAAGAGATTTAGTTAGAGGTTTTTTTTTTAGGGAATACAGGAAGTCAGGTTGGCTCTTTCCGCCTCGTCTTTATTGACATAACATTTATAGCGAAGTAGTACGAAAACGAACCGAAAGACAAACATTCACGTGAATCGTATTATATTCGACACACTGGGAAATATTTCAGTAACACATTATTTTACAGATCAAGTTCCTAAGAAGTTTGATAGACCTATGTGGAACAGGGAAAGTAGAGACAACGAGATGCAGTAAATAGGCAGGTGAAGTTTCTAGCAAATTATAATTGAAAGTAATTTATTGGAATTGTGCCAACAGGGCAATGTTAGTATACAAAAGTAGTCCTTTGCAGAAAACGTCCCGAGGAGGGTTAGGAAACTATGAGACCTATAAAATAAAGTTTTACGACTTTACATTTATATTCCTTTTGTCTGCCAACATGTCACTCACAGACAAAGAGAATATGGCATCCTACATAGTGACACATGCTTGGTGTCAGTTAGACCCCAGAGACCTCTTGTGAAATAACTATGACATTTAGTTTGAGATTTTGGAGGGGTAAAGCTGTATAAATATTACATTCAACACCAATCAGAGATACTGCAGTGTATTATGTCTAATAGACACCAACATTTAATGCATCATTTTCGAAAGCAGACTCCTAAAACATGGTTCAATGAAGTTTAGCGTATTATCATGCACACATTTGTTGATTAGCACCAAAAAAAAAGTACTGAATGTCATTAGTTTTGCAGGTATTTAGTCATAAAGCAAAGTATTGATTGATAAGTGTTGGATATTTTTTCACTTTTATAATTTAAGCTGCTGTACCAGTAAAATTAACCGAAAAATATGAACACAGTTTATCCTGAGGGGAAGTGAATGTCTGTAGGATTATCCTCTGAGCACCATGAAAGTCTGAATCAAGCTTCAAGGCAATACAATCAAGCACTGTTGAGACATTTGAATAAATCAAAGTGGTAGACAGACCGAACGACATACATGACCAAAACACCAAGAGCTTTTTGGGTCCAGGTTTTGAAATGCGAGGATCTGCTTTAATTTTTTTCATATAACTGACTATTGTTGGCAGTTCAAAGATGTCACTTTGACCTCTGGTAAATTGCAGAAGGCATTTTTCATTATTTTTAATAAAATAACCGATTACTTGACAAATCAAGAAAATAATCCTCAGATTAATTTGACAATGAAAATTAGTGTTTTTTTTGCAGCAATGATTGAATAACTCTTTAAGGACTTTACAGTGTAGTATTGTTTGGTTGTATCAGAGATACATAGCTCCTCATGTGCATTATCTGCTGGCCTGAGTGTAACAAACAAACTGACATCAATCTTGAAAGTAACTTCTGTGTCTCCCTCTTCTTTCTCTCCCTTTTTAGATACTGATATAATCATCAACATATTATGTATTATTATTATTATTATGTATTATGTATATGCAACACGGCACTCACCCCCCTCCTCCCACCCACACCTACACACACAGTGCTGCTCTGGTGGAGCTGTTTCTTTATAATTTCGTTCTAATGTGTGATGTGTCTGTTTATGAATGGGTTTGACCCGCTGCTAGCTAGATGAGCTGTTGAGACCTAATTCTCTGAGGCAGGCAGGCAAGCGGCTTTTTGTAAACGCCTCCACTCTCCTCTGCCTGTCAGTGCGTCTGAGCTGTGCCACACACTGAACCACACACAGGAACACAACACAGAGACGGCAGAGCCGGGCTAAAAATACCTTGATCGCCGCAGAGTGGTGTGTTGAAGATGAAGCACAATTTACTGGAAATGAAGTGACTGAAATAGATGCAAGTGAAGTGTCCACTGAGAATCAACACAATTTAAAAATAAATGAGGGATTTGTTGCTTCTCACACAAAAATGTTTATAAGCAATTCGCATGAAATTAGAAAAAGTCCTGAAGTATGAAGCTGATAACAATAAATGTGAGGATTTGCTTCTTTTCCCTGATTTATATAAGAGTTTTTAAGCCACGCTAGCATCAATGTAGCATGTCGGCTGGTCGGTTCACATCTTTTGTCCAGACTGAAATAAATCAGAAACTATTTGGATGGATTTCAATGAAATTTGGAACACTCTTGGTCCCCAGAGGATGAATCCTATATTCACTTGGTTGATTCCCTGACTTTTCCTTTAGAACCACCAGAAGGTACGACATTTTTGTTTTGGAGCGAAATACCAAGACAGATATTGAGTCTTTTGCCATGACATCTGGTTCTTCTCCTGACTGTTTCCACTAGAGCCACCAGAGATGCTAAAAGTTTTCACTTATTTGTTTTGCTTATTTTATTTTATCTACAACATGGATTGGTGTAAAATGTGGTACAGGAATAAAAATACCTGTGTGTCGATGATGTAGCTATACTTCAAGTTGACTTAGTAACTGAATTTCAACTAAGAATCAACACATGAGTTTGAGCCGCTGAAAACATGATCTCAAATCAGAAGTATATCTCTATAGAACAAAATGTTTACTGCCAAATATGCAAATATAAAAGTTAAAGTCTGGAGAGAGCATTGTTTATGAATAATCATTTGTGTAGTAACGAAAAACTCAGTTTAGCGCCATAAGCAAACATCCCTTTAACTGTCATTGCATTGCTGAATCCTGATTGGTGCACAAAAATGTGTATCTCTTCCCACTTTGTTCAAACCAGCAACAAGAGCACAGACAAAATGAAAAATATTGAAAAACGTTATGTGAAATAACAGAAACTGTTTGAACTTTTTTTGAACAAGTTGTCTGTTTATGTAGGACACCATTAAAAAAGTGTTTTAAGGGCATTTAAGCTAAATGGGCGAATTTGTAGTTCTGCGACAACTTGCCTGTCATATTAAGAACATTATATACATTGAGATTTATTGCAAGAGGCATGTATTTTGAGCCTCATTCAGTAGTGCTCCTTTTACGGTAGCTCCTCAGCAGATAGTGATAGGATGGGCCACTGTTGGATCTGTTCTCCTCTGCCCTCTGGCCCTCGACCATCTTTGTCTGGCTGGTATATGCCTGTCCACATTCCCATGACCCAACTCCTGGTCTAAATATAAATATCTAAGCAGCACTGCTAAGGTCACATTACGTAATCCCAAGCAGCACATTCTCAATCAAGAAGCACCGGGAGCGTGAGCTGTGGACGCGTCGAAGGCTTTATGATACCCTGGGTCAGCAGTGGTGGTTTGAAAAATGATGGGACGCAGTAACAGCTAGTGCTTGACCAGCGGAGCTAAACAATTCTGGAGCACTAGGTGACACACAAAATTGAAAACCTGGTGAAAACACCCCCACATTGTGTCCTGAACTTGATGGGATTTTCTCACAACCTTTGGCTGACATGGGTAATGGGATAAATAAGGTACAGTATCAAATCTCTACGCAAGAAGGATTAAAAAAACATCCAATCCTTCATTACCATACTTGAACATGCTTGTACTTTCACAGCCTTTTCTTTCTTCCTTTGACTCAATTTTCTAACTGTCTTTAGATCCTGCCCGATCTGTATCTCGGAAATATCAAAGGTAAGATGTCCTGGCTTTGTCACTTGAGTGAAGAATTAATTTATTTTCAGGTTAATAGTAGAGTGTGTTTCAGTTCCTCATACAGAGGGGCATGTGGTGAGATGCTAGGCTGAGATCAGTTTCTATAGAGTGGAGAGGTCACAGAGTGGAGCAGAATGATTGAAGTAGTGTATTTTGGTGTAAAAAAAAAAATATGATTACACTGTGTTTTTGCCGGTGTGTGTGTGTGAGTGTGTGTGTGTGTGTGCGGGGGTTGATGTGTAACTCTCTGTCAGCTGCTGGAAGAAAAAAAATATTTTTGAGGGTTGTTGAGTGCATGAGGGTTGGTGTGGGAGGGGATGCCCCGCGGTGTGGGGGTGTCCCTACTGTGAAGCGTATTCCACCTCTTTCCATACCTCAGCAAATGCATCAACTGGTTGCTCTTAAAAAAATAAATAATCTGTGCACACGTTTAATGGTGGCCACACAAGAAAAATATGGATCATTTTTTGTAAACATGACATGTTAAGTGAAACACTGTTAAAACGGAAATCTAACACCTTTCACATTATCCAGGCCTTTAATCTTCTTTTATCCTTTTTGCGCTGCATATTTTAACATCTCAAACTTTTTTGTCTTCGTACAACAGCAAGCGAGTATGACAAAGAAGAGTAAAACTATTAAAATAAAATAAAATAAGAAGACCCCATACCTCTCCTACAGAGGCAGAACAGCGATACAGAAGCAGTGAAGTTGAGAAAAATAATTAAAGGTATCAGGCTGGCCGGCAGACAGAGTAATGCCTTAATTCTATGCCGGTTCAAAAAAAATAAATTACTATTATAGAACCTACCTAATATTCTTACTAGAGACCCTTCAGGGTCTGGAGGGAAAAGTGTAGTACAACAAAATGTGTTATCTCAGCTTTCTTGTTGGCTACTTTTGAAGTTCTCTGGTCAAGAAAATAAACGTATTAACTATATTAAACCAGCGATTTTAAAGATTTAATTGTGTGATTTAAAGCTGAGATGGCAGTTACCTGCTACTCTGCTAAGCTAGTTATGTTAGCTTTAGCTGGAGTTTAGAGTTAGCAGTAGTTTAGCGTTAACTGGGTTTCTATTCTACATAATGGTTGGATTTAGCTACTGTCTCATTATGTGTAATACCATTGAATTACCAAGATGTTAGTTTACCAAAATGGATATATACATATATCAGCTATAGGGAAATATCAATAAGTAAATGTATTTTTAGCTTTAGCTATCTCACCAGCTAACGATACCTTGTTTGCTTTTACTGATAGTCTGTTTTTATCTTCTTTTTGTAGTTTCTTCTAATTTTACATGCTGTTTTCACAGAAATGATACATTTCTATGTTGTGATAATAATTACAATTTAGTACAAATATGTAGTGATTATGTTTTGGCTGTTTATAGTAGTGTCACTGCTCTGTGCTCAGCAGAGGAACAGTTGTTGGCACCGTGACACCCCATAAAACTATTCAGGCTATCTCAGGACCGAGTGAACACACTTGTGGACTTGTCTCATTTCATGACGTTCAAATCACTGGCTTACAGTGTAAGTTACATAATCAGATTGTGTTTCCTACGCAACTATCTTAAGGATTGTATCAGTTCGTGTTTTGTCTTGCAGTTTATACAAACTCTCATGATGTGTGAAATCTATTTGGCTGGCAGGAGGGTTCAGTTCAGACTCATCTTGGTCTTGTATAGGTGGCATCAGCATCCTGCAAACTTGCAAAGCATGAGAAAAATGTGCTCAAAACACATCTGTCCAAGGTAGAAAACCTTTGGCTTCCTTTTAAAGAACAAAATTTGATTAGAACAAATACTGTTTCTTGCTTCTGGGCCAAGCTGTTGGACTGTTTTAGAAACATTGGTTTTCCGGTTTTTCTTTCAGTTCAAAACAAGAGCAAAACTTTTAAGGCCACATTTGTTTGGGAGACAGGGGGGTTGTTGTTGTTGAGTAGAAATGCTTAATTTAGGTTGGGCCTTACATGAGGTGATCTTTGATTGGATGGAAGGAATATTTGAGGTGATTGATTTTCTGTGCGATCCTCAGATGCGCGAGACAGGGAGCTGTTGGCGCAGCACAACATCACCCACATCTTGTCCATCCATGACACAGCTGCACCCATCCTGGAGGTGAGCCGTCTTCTCTGTGTCTTATATCGGCCTGTTTGACCCTGTGACCCCAACATTAATCCAACCATAAAGTACACAACAACAGCAGCAGACCTGTGGTGCCACTGTCTTTTTCTGGCTTAATATATTCATTAGGGCTGCAGCTAACATTTCGTTTTTTTAATTATCGATTCATTTGTCTATTGATTTTTCCAATCAACTGATTCATTTCTTAGTCTAAAAAATGGCAAAGAATAGTGAAAAATGTCCATCAAAGTTCCCCAAAATCTGAGGTAACTTCACTTATTTGAGAAGTGGGAACCAGCTAATTTCCAGATTTCTTTGCATGAAAGCCGTTGAAGTAGACCTTCAATTAGTGTGTAAGGCAGATGTTCGTATTTTCAATTCTGCATGGAAAGTCCTTTTGTCATGTATCTGTCAGATGACTTGGAATTCACCAGGTTTCACTAAATAAGCAGCAGTCTGCCATCAAGCCATTAAACTGGGAGACATTTTTCACACAATGTGCTTTTAGTTCAGCAGCTTGATGTCCATAAAGTCTTGAAAGTGGAACTGCATTAAAAAAAAAAAAAAAAAAAAAAAAAGGTTTCTGACTTTTCACAGCTGCAGAGAGAAATGTGTTTTTCTTGTGTGTGTGTGTGTGTGTGTGAGCGAGAGAGAGAGAGAGAGAGAGAGAGAGAGAGAGAGAGAGAGAGAGAGAGAGAGAGAGAGAGGTGATCTACTGTGAGAACCTGGTTGGTTGAAAGTAGAAATTTGCACTCACTGATCTCAATTTGGTAACATATGTAAAAAAAACATATTATCTCAATTGCAAAATCTGTCCTAGAAGAAATAAAGTTGAATTTAGAGACCAAATCATTTCAGAATAATAGCGGATGAGCCATTTGAATTTGAAAGAACTTTTCCTCTCTCTCGGTCCGCGTTTGAATCGTTTTTGAGAATCTTGATCTCCAGTGTCCGCTTTCACAACTTTCATCTTTTCTTGTTGAAAGCGAGCATGAAAAGTGCTCAGAGATTTCTGTACACTTTCTCCATCCATGCTAGTATCTTTCATTGAACGCTGAAGAGAAACAGCAACTTGTATTAGAGTATCACTACCCAAACTGGTCAACCACCAAGACTTTTACACGGCTTTGGGCCTGAAGTCATGTCTGACTCGATGAACTGTGCTGCCCTTCGTTCAGCTGCTCTTTAATCACAGCTGCTGTACAAATCTTTGATCTTGATCGCTGGATTGCTCTCGCATTCGCATGGATGACACAGCTTTTTGAGCTCTGTGGCATGATGACTCAGGTCTATTTGACCAGATGGGACGGTGTATTTGCATGCCTAACAGTCAAACTGCTGACTGATTGATTTCTTGGAAGACGGCATGGTGGTTCATGAGAGAGGAAGGTAGAATTTGCAACCACCAAGTCTCAGAGGTTGGACATGCCCGTATAGTATGTGGCTCCAATTAACATACCGCAAAGTAAACGGACGTGGTTAGTTTTATTGAACAAAATCTGAGTTTAAGAAATTAATTTCTGCACTTATCCACAATCTGCATGCACATTGTTTGAGAGTGCATTCGTGCTTTCGATCTGCCTGGGTTTGATGACGGTGCAAAGATACAAGTGGACTTCTCAGCATCTCTTTGCATAACCTGACTTTTTTCTGTAAACAGTCACAATTTCGCCGATATGAGACTTACATGCTCCTTCAATATGTGCAGGTCCGTTTGTGATTAAGCATGCGTGTGTGTGTGAATGATTACTGCGTGAGACTCTGTTTGAGTGTGTGTGTGTGTTGTGTGTGTGTGTGTGCAAGCTAACCTGTCTGGAGCACTTCCAGAGCTCGGTGTGTCCCAGAGGGCTAAGGGGTTTTTGCAGCGGTGCAGTCATAACGGACAAGGTAGTTTCTGTCCACTGCATGTACCATCAGCTGCCAGGTGCACAGCACAAAAACACACATTAACACACACATTAACACACACACACACAGGCGAATATCTCGTTATGTCTTGACCTACCATACCAGCGGGGTCAGAGGGGCAAAGTTTCAGGGGCCGTACCATACATTCGAAACAGGAAGTGTGTTCGACCCGGTGTTCAAACAGATGACCTGACAGGATGAGAAACCCTTTTTACACTTTGAGAAATGTACATTCATTAATTCAGTGGGTTTGTCTGCAGAAAATACACCGTATTGGGTTGTTGAGTCTAAACTTCTCCCCCCTTCACCCTCTAGGACATGACGTACCTGTGTATATCTGCTGCTGACCACTCGAAGCAAAACCTGTGAGTACTTACAGGATATACAATATATACAGCAATATGAGGTTCACTATGTTTGAAAGTTGTACAATATTGGATTTGATGTATCTACCATCTGATGATCTGTTGCAAGTGTAATTGCGTGAAAATAAAAGTCCAATAACAGTCCAATTTCATTTTACATTTCGGGGGTGTTTTGTATCAAATACATTTTTTGACATCCCACGATTTTTATATATTTATGAAAGTATATCTATATGAAAGTGTTCTTATTTAGGACATCATATTGAAAAGAGTCACACGTACAACCATTAATGATTGAGCACCGTACACCAAAAGATTCAAACTATCAACAATATACAAAGTCTTATAGTTGGAGGGCAGGTTCTTGCTGTCAATATTTGATGGATTAAAAATTGCAGAATGGTGGAATCAATTGATTAATAGATGGAATAATTCTCAGCGGTTTGATTCAATCATAATTTGTAATACCTGCCTATAATATTTGATATTCATATTTCTACAAGGATTCAGTACTTCAGAGCCAGCATCGTGTTTATCCACGAGTCCCGACTGAAAGGAGAGGGCTGCCTCGTCCACTGGTGAGTGATTTGTGTATTAATGTACTTCATCTTGAAATAACATGCGAAAACAAAACTTCAATATGAATCATCAAATAACACTTAAAGGGAATTTCTTATTAGTGAAAACAATATCTTCCTTTTATGTCTGGTTGTTTTAACTGCACATTACTTACTTACATAGTAGGCCTACTCTCCATTCATATGTTTATTTAAAAATCATTGTCATTTTATACTTTACATTTCGTTATTGATACGAAACCGGTTTCATTTGCATATGAGGATGTTGAAAGGAAGAAGCACAAATATTCAGATCTAGTTGATTTTGGTTAGAATGATGATTATTTGCCTCAAGATGATTATTAACTGCAGGTCTTCATATTTCAGTAACCCGATTTTCATTTTCAACCACATCAAAACACATCACTAAACAGGAAAAAACTAATTCTGGTTAAAAGCTCTCATTGTAAATGTCATCACCTTTCATCTTTTCTCATATCAAACAAGACAAAATCAAGCATTTAACCACAGCTTTAGGGGGGGAAAGGGGTTTCACTTCTTTGCAGACTAAAGAAGAGAATCAGAATATGTGTTGATTGTTGTTGTGTGCTCTCAGTGTGGCAGGCGTGTCCCGCAGTGTGACTCTGGTGGTGGCTTACATCATGACGGTGACGGGTCACGGCTGGGTGGAGTCTCTGGCGAGGGTGAGGGCGGCCCGGCCGTGTGCGGGGCCCAACCTGGGCTTCCTCCGGCAGCTGGAGGAGTTTGAAAACACAGAACTGACCGAAGTGAGTGATACCCTGCTGATCTTAAGATCATTAACATTTCATGATATCAAACACCTATTTTGATTATTCTTTTTTCAGCAGCAGCCATTGAATTTATTTCTCTAATTACCTCTCTATATAATAGTTTGAGTTGTCACTGGCAGAGTCTGCCACTCCTACGTGGGATTCAAATTGTGCATTCATGCACAAGGGATTAACAGGAAATGATGCAAATACGCATTGGATTGGTGTGGAAGTCAGTATTTGTGGACAACATCCCACTATGGTTTTAGTATTGCTGTGTTGGACAACATTGTCGACTGTCGTCTTTGATAAAACAATTTGACATGATGAATGCCTGTTGGCCACTGGTTTGTTTGGTTGCTCTTTAAACAGGTATTATTTTGTTGCATTTCCAACAGAGTAGCTGCTGAAAGAGCAACTTGACACCGGCTGAAAAGCACTGTTTTATTGCCCTCTCTGGTTGAGCTTCAAGCCTCTTCCACTTTTTTTAGTTTGGCCTTTTTGACAGTTATGTAACAGGGAAGGCGCAGACAGGAAGCAGGGGGGCAGAGAGGGGAGTAACTTGCTACAAAGCTCCGCGGTCAGAATCAGTCTCAGGACGTTGCGGATACAGTATATGTGGCATGCGCTGTAACCGTTTGGCTAACAGTGGCGCTTTAGCCTGCGTCATTTCTGACAGGTGACATGCCGCACACTTCTGATCACACTTGTGGTCAGAGGTGTGCACTGTTGCACCTATAACCACACCCGACAGTGAGTACACTGTGTACTGACACACCCTGTAGTACACGTCTACATCACTGCAGCGAGGTGAGGTCCATGGGAAACAACATTTTCTTTGGGCATGTTAAGTAAAGTTGCTCTTGAAGGCGTGTCTGCTGCCCCTATTGAACAATAAATGTGTCCTTTTGAGCATTGGCACACATTTTGGACCTGTTGTGAATGGCCACACTCCAAGAATAGAGCGGGACGAGACGTGATGGTCATTCAAATAAGGGCACGCACTTTCGGAGAATATACCTACAAAGCCATCGATTTGTGTTACACTCTGTCATAGAAAACTAGTCAATCGCTGTGTAAAGTGGGCATGCTCATCTGATTGTCGGTGTGGGAAAGTTACAGAAATTGTCGGGCGCAGACCACCCCTTTCAGGAAACTGACAAGAGAAGAGATCTGACAAGCACGTCATTTGAAGCACACTGACTCCAAAAACAACTTGGACTAAAATCCAACTAGAACTAGCCTCCCTCTCTGTCTTAGTTTCCCCTCCCTCCATCACTTGACTCAGCTGTCATGTGACTCACTGTTAGTCTAACTCTGCCCTTCCCATCCAGTATCAGGCCTGGTGGAAGGACCGGTACGGGAAGAACTCGTTGAACGATGATGAGGAGATGGAAAACCTTTTAACTGGGAAATCTAACAACAGCAGCAGCAGCGATGGCATAACAACCAGCATCTCTCCTGCGCTGGGTGCAGGTGGCACCTGAAGAAATGTCTTCTGGGAGTCTCGTCTTTCCTGGAGTCAAGCAGCTGAGGGAGTGACGGGCTTCTGCTCAGACCATTAGACCCACGAAGACCAGACCAGCTGTTTGCCTTCGTCGTCGATAAATGCTCTGTATCAATATGATAACTTGAATATCGTGTTTGCAGGATTGCTAAGGGGGTCATGTGAGTGTGTATGGGGGGGGGGATTTTTTGATGTCGTCATCTCAGTCCCCCTCGTCATGTCATGTCCTTGCCTCTAACTGTCAAAACAACATGCAAGGGCAGTCAAGCATGACACCAAGGAAATATGTACATACAGTCCGCAGTGTGAACTCACACATTTAGCAGCGTTCACTCCCCATTAGTTACATTATGCTGTGTCTTCTACTTGAAATATGAGTAGTCTAACACGTTCTGTGTGCAAGCTGAGTAATACTGTGTCTTCCAGTGAAACAGTATCAGAAGCAATATTTATGTATATTTACTAATCACAGTTTTATTCCTTAATTAATGTTTTTTTGTTTTTGTTTGTATTGTAAAAAAGCGTGTGGTCTAAATAAGACTCTCAATTATGCCATTAGAAGGATTCACAGTCAAAGTTAAATTTTGATGGCAAGAGTTTGTGGAGTTAATGATTCACAACTACATTTCTGCTCCAGATTATAATAATTTACACATGTGAATTTGCATTTCATTGAATAAAATCATTAACATGAAGTTTGATTCATCAAGTGGATATTTCTTTATCTGGGGCCTTTGTAGAGCAGTGGGTGCTGACATCGGGGTGTGAGGTTCCACGCTGACAGAAAAAAACAAACATTTCTGCTACATCAAATGTTTAGATTTGTTTTGTGAATGGCATACTTGCATGGCATAATTGCAGGCCACTGATAAAATATTATAATATATAATAATATATAAACAATACTCTGTTAAAAGACAAGGTCCTACCGCATTAATGAATGTGTAGGCAGCAGTTAAGTAGTTTTGTTAAAGTGGAAGTTTAACTATTTTATATACTGCTGGGTAGTTCCATCTGAAAACAATCTACATTCTACGACCACTGTTTAAATAAATCAGTAAAATGCTCATTTTTTTCTTAATGTTGGGGTTATTGTTATCAAACATTTATTCTTTTTTGTCTGTTTTTGATTTACTTTAGTTCTCTACCTCTGCTTCTCTATTCTGTCAGAGCATTTGGGCTGCATCTTTGCATGCTTTACAAATGAAGTTATTACAACAGAAACAACTAACCTGTTCTTGAGTACACTTGAGTAAATGTAGAATACTTATAGTTAAATCCCAGTGGGGGGCCAAAAGCCAAGAGGAAGTGGTAAGAAAGTAACTAAATATTTTACTATACTGTACTTAAGTACAATTTTTGAGGTACTTTACCTATTAATTTTTTAAGGTAACCTACTTTATACTATTTTATACTTCAGTACTTTTCAGTGGCTACTTTGTATTCCATAATACATTCATCTGACAGACACTAATTACTCTACAGATTTAGATTTTTATATTAAAACCATGCTGATTTCAATATGATGCTTAAACTATACCCAACATGGTATTAAATAGTATGAATTAGCTCTACCTTAAACAGATATATTAGCTACAATATTTATAAGTTAATGTGTCACGTATGATAATCAAATACTGTATTAGCCTATCCTTTATTACAATACTGACAGTAGCCAATACAGCAGAATGGATACTTTTACTTTTAAAACTTTGAGTTCAATTTGCTTTTTGTACTTTTGTAAGCTTTGGAAGGCTGGACATGAATATCTTTTAATTGTAAGTAGGCCTAAACAAACGCTGATTTAAAGTGTTAAAGTGAGTCTTTTTAAAAAATTGTTTTGCATTTCTTTTAGAAATATTATATTTAATTCACAAGTCTTCCTGTGCTGGAGGAAGTCGATGGACTGTAGACATTGCGCTCTCTAAATAACGCCGCTAATTATAGAAATATAAGAGTTTATTATAATCTTATCTGAAGGCTGTTCTTCTCTGCGGTATCATTCATCGCCAATGTTCTGTTTAATCTTCCAATGGCAACAAACAGATGTGTTGTTTTTGTTGCGCATCACTTCTGCTGCAGGACAACTCTATAGTTACTTTTCGTAAAGCTTTATCATTTCAAAGAATTGTTTTCGTCTCCGTCCCATGATTATTTTCCACGTGTGCGGGCGTGACACTTTTGACTGACGGCGGCAGGGTTTCCCCCGGTGTCTTACTGGAGATCGGCCGCTGTGTGCGCGCTGATAAGCTTCGCAGGAGAGAGAGAGAGAGAGAGAGAGAGAGAGAGAGAGAGCAGGTGCGTCCTCCTCAGCATCCCCGGCTCTGTGTCTCCGCCCTCCCGCTGCTCGCTATAGGCTGGAGGATTTAAGCGGGCCCGCCGTAGTGTTGAGAACTCTCTGAGAACGATTCATTTACAAACTTGCCGGGTTTCGAGTTTCACAGGTAGGAGCAGCTCGATACGCTACGATAAGGGCCAAGTTAGTCTGCGTGGGAGATCAGGGTGGTTCGAGAGTTTTGGTCTATAGACTCATCTCTCTCTCTGCCAAACTCGCACTACTGTTCAAAACATCGAGCCTGCACGGTGGAGTTGTCGCGTGCGTCTGTTTGGACGGAGATGAACGCTGAGGTGGATTACGGAGGCTCCGGGAGCAGCGGGAACGGAAAGCTGCGCAATTGGCTCATCGAGCAGGTGGACTGCGGCACATATCCCGGTCTGGTGTGGGAGAACGACGAGAAGAGCATCTTCAGGATACCGTGGAAACACGCCGGGAAGCAGGACTATAACCGTGATGAGGATGCCGCGCTTTTCAAGGTAAAACACCCGCATCCTCCGCTGTTAGTTCAGACAGAATGCAAACAGGATTTTCAGAATAAAAGTAACGAGTGCGCAAACTGACAAAAAGCCATCATTTCAAATGCTTTTAAAGTCTCCAAAGTGATGTCAGGGTAGGTTATGATAATCCTATTCTAAATAATATTATTATGCTGTTTTTCACAAAGTGGGATATTATTTATTAGATATTAATTGGTTAACGCAATCGTAAGTATTTAAGATACAGGTTTTAAAAGTCTATGCTGTCATTTCATGTTTTTAATATCAAGCACTCTGCAATGTCTTTGCCTTTAAAATGTGCAATATAACTAGGGCTGCAACGATTCTTTTCATTATCGAATGATCTATTAAATATCAGAAAATAGCCTCGTAAAATGTTCAAATATATGACTTCTTTTAAAACGCTTGTTTTGTCTGAAAAGTAATTATAAACCAAAAGATAATCGGTTTACAGAAAAACAGGATATCTTCACTTGTGGACACAGAAATGTCCACGTTGCTTATGTCCGTGGATGGATTACTCAATTTTTAGCTCTTTAAAAATCTTTTTTTTTTTTTTTAAAAGAATCATAAATAAACGTCCCTTCTCTTGGGAGGATGTCTGGCTCTTGAGATACATGCTGGAGTTTAGTTTAAAGAACTGTTTGTCTCATCCTCTCAGGCCAAACTTTTGCAAGTTTTTTTTAAGTTTTACCGGTGATCTGTCTGCAGGCCTGGGCGCTGTTTAAAGGAAAGTTTCGGGAGGGGATCGACAAGCCGGACCCGCCGACCTGGAAGACCCGCCTCCGCTGCGCGCTCAACAAGAGCAACGACTTTGAGGAGCTTGTGGAGAGAAGCCAGCTGGACATCTCAGACCCGTACAAAGTGTACCGCATCATCCCCGAGGGCGCCAAGAAAAGTCAGTCCCACCTCAAACACCTCACATATCAAACAATACAGCTTGGTTTTTGGCATGGTACCAGTTTGATGACAATGCCGCATACATAGTCTATAAGACGACCACGGTGAACCTTTTTTTGAAATGTAAGTTATAATGTAATCATGATTTTTATTTTCTGTTGGTTTTATTCGACAAAGTTGGAAATTCTCTTGAGAGAATGATAAAGGTCACCGACTCCTCAGTGCAGTGATACATCTTTGAAGGGTTAAGAAGACAAACCACCAGTGAAGGTCACGCTGCATGATGTCAGCAGTCGTGGACTTTTTTTCTGTGCAGAGTTCTGTATGTTCTTATATTTTATCTCTTGTGTCTCGCATTCAGGACCCAGACAGGAGGACAGTCCTCTGAGTCCGATGAGCTATCAGGTGCACTCCCCCTATCCTGCCCTTCAGACCCAGGTGATTGTCATACACGTGGAAATGAGTGGGCTTGTGAGAGAGAGAGAGGGTGAGAGAGAGAGAGAGGGGGGGGGGGGGTGAGCAGGGTTGGATGTGCAACAGAAACAGTGGATGAGGGCATACCTTGCATGCATGAATGGCCTCGGATGCACCAGATGCCACGTTTCAGGTTTGAGTTGTATCCCAAAGCCGTACTGATGCTGACTGCATGTGCTGTTGGAAATAACAAGATAATCATCACACAGAAAGAGGACAGTGTCTTATCATTTAAAAACCATGTCAATAACAGGTGTTTGTAATTAGTTTGACAGTATGTTATACATGTCCAAAATTTTGACTAGTCACCAAAAAAGAAAAACATATATTTATATATATATACATTTTAAATGTTCAAAGTTGTTGACCAGAGCCGTACTGGTACATACATTCCTTTATTTTATTTAACTTAATCCTTTTTAACTACTCTTTGTCTAAAAATATAGTCAAATTATTACATTGGATATTATATTATAATATAATATATATTTGAAGAGTCTCGAGAATAACATAAATAAAACTAAAGCAATGAAAGAAGTATTGTTATCATAACTACAACTTAAATATGGAAGCAGAAGCATGCATGTGACTACAATACAGTCAGTTTAAGTTAATTTTGCACGTTAATTGTTTTTGTCTGTAGATACCACAGTATGTGCCCACACCAGAGTGCGGCTGGAGAGATTTCTGTCAGGAGCAGGCCTCCCTGCCTGAGCTGCCCTTCACTCACTGTCCCCCCCGCAGCCTGCCGTGGCAGGGCCAGTCCATGGAGAATGGTACGGTCCTCGATGTTCAGTTTATAAGCATTAGCATCCAAAGCAGTTCCTTTCTGTGCTGATGTTGAGCTCACGTCTGTTCCTCCGTGTGTGCAGGTTATCAACTCAGAGCCTCCATTTACTCGTATGGTCCTGCTGACAGTCAGCCCTCGCCTTTCACACTGGACGCCAGCATCAGATCAGCAGAGGCGCTCTCAGGTAAACACCGTCGTTTCACTTTTTTTCTCTCTAGGGGGGGGATGGGATGGAGTACACCGAATACATTTACACAGACAACACACCACACTGCTGACGTGACCTGTACCTGTGACCTCTTCTCCTCCAATCAGACTTCCGCCTGCATGTGTCTGTGTATTTCCGGGACACTCTGGTGAGGGAGGTGACCACCTCCAGTCCAGAGGGTTGCCACCTCACTCCCTGCTCCCCAGAGGAGAAGCACTACCTGCCTCCTGGAGGTCCCGAGGTGGTCCCCCTGCCCGTGGACAGTCTGTCTGCCCAAAGGAGGACAGAGGAATGTCCCCCGAGTCCCCCGTCCACCCTGGAGAGGGGAGTGTTACTGTGGATGGGCGCAGACGGACTCTACGCGCGGAGGCTGTGTCAGGGCAGGGTGTACTGGCAGGGAGGACTGTCCCAGTATGGAGACAAGCCCAACAAACTGGAGCGAGAGGTCACCTGTAAGCTCCTCCACACACAGGACTACCTGACAGGTGAGACAGAAGAAAAGGGCTGCAACTCATTTTTTTATAATCATTAAATGGGGACATTTGTTTTTGATATTCTATGTCTGTGAAATGTCAAAAAGTCCTGAAAAATGCCATGGCAGTTTCAATTAAAAAGTCCACATCCAAAGATATATACATTTTTAACAATATCCAACATCAAATATTCACATTTAAGAATCTGGAGCCAGCTAAAGTTATGCACGTTGGTTTTCATGAATGATAAACAACTGATTATTGTATATTCGTATATATCTTATCGTGTATATATCTTATATAGATATATCGTTTGTCGATTCGTTGTCTTCAAAATGAGCACATGTTGTCCAACTCTCCAGTACACAAGGCTTTATTCACCAAATGATTTTGGCTACCCAGTTGTTGTTAAAACCCGGTTTTAGTAAAACACAAAGCAAAATATGGAAATGTGATTTTGTATGAAAAAGAAACGCCAACATAAATGAAATCAACTAATTCGATTTTCAAGAAATTGCACAGAATGAGGAAGGAGATACTCCATTCTGGCTTTGTCAGTAAAAATACTTGCAACTTGAGAAACAGGTCAAATGTTTTTTTATGATGCAACAGACTGAATCATTTTTCTTCTTGATGGTTGGAAGTGTCTTTGAGGATTCTGGAAATTCTTGAGAAAAGGGGAAAGTTGTTTATCAACCTTTTTGAATCTTTCAAAGTTTATTTTCCATAAAATCAGATTCGTAGCTCTGATTTGTATGTAATGGTCATACAGCACATAAGAGGCACAAACTCAGAGCTAAAGTTAAACTTACAGTAAGTCAAAGGTAAAGTTCGTCTTTGAGAAAAACTACAGCTCATTTACGGTAAGTCGCTTTGGATAAAAGCCATGTAAGAACAAAACTTGAAACAAACAAATCCCCCCAAAAGTCAATATCACCATGTGTCAACCACAACAACTGAGGTAGACAAACCCCTTAAAGAAGTGTTTCATGATGAAGCGGCAGTCACATGACTTCCTTATAGCCACATCAACCCCACCCACATGCTAAGCCAGCTGTGTAAAAGTCTGACAGCTAATTGTATTTGCATACATGGTGTGAGCAGGACTTTCCATTCGAATCACCCCAAAGGTCATGTCACTTCAAGAGAAATTCTCCTGAATTCATTTGAATCTACACGTTCTTATGTATTTCAGATGTCATAAGTATCATAATGATGTGATCTCATCCATTTCCTTGACTTTCAGAGATCCAGAGTTATGGCCTCCACGGGCGGCCGCTGCCTCGTTTCCAGGTCCAATTGAACTTTGGAGACGAGTGTCTGGACCTGCAGAGACAAAGACGGACCCTCACAGTCCAGGTGACTGTCCACACTGTCATACTGTGGCTGCTCTACACATATATTAGTACTGTTTACCAAGCCCTGCTCTCCCCATAGCACTACCATGCTACACTCAGATCACTTTTGAATTTGTCTTTTTTTTCACTTTTAAATGTGGTTTGAAAAGTAGGATTTGAAAGTTAAAACCTAGGATTGAAAGTCTTTAAGAACCCCTTCATAGTCATAATGTTTCAAAACTGTGAATTCAGTTTCTGAACGAGTCGAGCAGAGATTCAACATTAGCCCGGTTCCAGACCTCTGAATCACATCAGTGTTTTTAAGTGAAGATAAAGGAACAATACATTAATTATGAGGATAATTTGAACACACCGCTTTGAAAGAATCTGCAATTTCAATTTTGGATGATGGGATTTCTGAGACTGTTTGAAGCTGGTAAGATCAGAAACACAGTGTTGGTCAGAGAAGACAAGCATCACTTTGGGCTCCAGGAAATGGTGATGGGCATTTTTCATGAATTTGCTTAATTCTATTTAAAAAATAAAACTCACAGTGTAATCCAAAATTATCATCATGCAGATTTAAGAGTTATTTCTGTAGGGGACTGACAACAACCACCATACAACCACACAGTGCTTGTTGTCATTTCTGTGGCAATTTTCTAGCAGTGTTTCTAATCCCGCCTACAAAGCTTGATTGGCTTCGTTGTTTTACCAACCAACACACAACCAAATAATTTGACTGTCTGATAAAAAAATCTGAGATGTGGATTATTGGTTATTCAGGGGCCTGAACTATTTTTCAGGCTATTATTGTTGCACTACGTTAGAGCAAACGATATGTTTACCATCAATAGCTACCATTTCAGTTCTCCCCTTAGAAAAGCTAAAAAAGAGCAGATTCAGGTTCCGGTACGAGTCATTGTCTCGTTTCTGCCAGTTTGGATTTATTTTCCAATAATTGAATGACCGAAACCGTTTAATAGATGACAAGTGTTAAAAACAAAAATACGCCACATGTGAAGATTATGAGACAGCAATGTTACTTTAACTGGCCATTTTTGAAAATATCCCCAAAAACTAACTTAACCATTTGATTTGTTTTATTAGTTAATGAAAACTTGAAAATCCTGCTGCCCTCTATTGGTTTGGAGCCTGTGGTCAGATCTTACATATTCCGTCTTTAAACACTTCTCTTACAGACTTTCATGTGTTATTTTTTACAGTTCAAAATTCTACTTTTCACTTCTCAAACGATAGTTTTAATTTTCAAAACGTACTTTTTATATGTATATTTTTTTCAAATATTAGTTTTGCAATTTTGATCGTGATCTGAGCTCATAGAAAATTCTCTACGGTGACAGTTTAAAGCGTGTAACTGACCTGTCTGACCTTTCCTTGCTCTCAGGTGGAGCCGTTGTTTGCCAGGCAGCTCCTGTACTACGCCCAGCAGATGGGCGGCCACTACTTCCGCAGCTACGAGCACCCGGGAGTCACGGACCACATAAACACCTCTGAGGACTACCAGAGGACCATCACGCATCACCACAGCAGCAGCAGCCTGCAGGAGTGATCTCAGTAGCTTCAAGTGACTGTTGAAAACTTCAAGATGCAGCAGTGACCTTTGACACAGGAGGCCATTTAACTGAGACAAGAGGACAAACGTGGACAGTGTTATACATGAAGATTATGGACACTTAGTGACAGCAACTGTTTGCCTGTGTCTTGTCTGTGTGTGTGTGTGTGTGTGTGGGGAACAAAAGTTGCAGTGTTAATTCTTTCTCTCCTGACTATATTTTTGTGGCACCATTTTTATGGCTCCATACTTACTATGCAAAGAAAAAACTGACAGCTGAGGTGATTGTACAGAAGAAAACTGTGTGTTGAATTGTAATGCCTTAAGGTGATTGACATTTTGGGAAATACGCTTATTCACTTTTTTTGCTGAGTTAGACGAGAAGATCGATACCCCTCCGTCTGTACAGTAAACAGGAAGCTGGAGCCAGCAGGCGGTTAGCTTAGCTTAGCACAAAGACTGGACACAGGGGGAAACTGCTAGCCTGGCATGTCTGTAGCTCACAATTTAACAAGTTATATTTTGTTTGTTTAAGGTGTACAAAAACTGGTGTGAAAACATAACATTTGCCATTTTATGGGGGTCATGAGAAGCATTTTTTTTTTTTTTTGCCAGGCTAGCTGTTTCCCCCATTTGCAGTCTTTATGCTAAGCTAAGCTAATTGTTTTCTGGCAGTTGCTTTATATCTGCTGTACAGATGTTTGAGTGGTACCGATTTTTTTGTTTACGCTTCTTCTAAATATGTATTTTTGTTGCTGGGAGACACTATCACCACCATTTAAGTTATAAATGCATTCTTGAGCCCAGCTATGTTTGTGTGAGAAACTCAGGGAGCTGGTTTTAGATAAGCTTTTTCAACTCAATTAGATATATTTTCTAAAATTGAAGTGTCATATATCAAATCTGAGAAGGAGTTGGAGTGTTTGAGCCTTTTCGCCTTGAAAGAGCACATTTCTGTTGTAAAAAAAAACAATAAATGGCTTTATAAGTGCAAAGAGGACCTGTGTTCATAACTGCGTGAGCTCCTCGGGTAACGTCAGTACTATGTGTGCTGTCTCTGAACAGGAAGTGTGGTTCAGATGCAAGATGAGGCTGGTTAATCAAACACTTCGTTATCACAAACAAATGTGACGATATCAGGAGGGGAGGAGAGAGAAGAGGAAGAGGTTAGCCACGCTTTCCGCGCTGCGCTGGAGAGAAAGCCTTCCTGACTTCAGTTCACAGATTAGAGTCGCTTTCCACTTCCATGGAAAAGAATCACAAAAAAACACAAATACATGTGTCACTGCCACGAAATTATTTACAGGAAGACCCTTGGACGTCACCCGTTACACTTTAACTGAAAACACGTTTTTTTTTGGGGGGGGGGGAATCTGCTTGCTTTGGTCATTTCTTTAGTTTGAAGTAATCTACAGAAAGTCAGATATTAGCTATTATAATTTTTTTTTAAAAATAATTTTACTATGAATCTCCAAATGAAATTATGCCTGAAATATTGTACCAATATATTAGCCATTACTTGAATGTCACGACACTGATAAGATCTTTTTAATAATTAATGCCCGAGAGAAAATTAGCATTTCTTAGCACTCTATACACATTTAATAAATGGTTTATAACAAACCATTATAAAAAACATTGAAGTTAACAATAACTCCTGCTATGGGCAACCAAGTGGAGGCAGATAACAAATGAAACTAGAAAATGCATTTCCTGCTGAAAATGCGTTGGAATGCTGAAAGCTGAAATGAATCGCAAAAACATTGCTGAAAATAGATATCCAATTTAAAAAAAATTGCAAAAAGCTTAATAATTCAAAAAAGTTGAAAGATTACAAATATGAAGTCATATCACCTCTCTCCAGAAAGAGCTGAACATTTTGATATATTCGAACGGTTTTTGTAGCTTAAAAAAAATTTCAGCGGTAGTGATATTTGTTGTAGTAGTAGTAGAAGTTGTAGTTGTTGTAGAAGTATTATTAGCAGTAGAAGTATTAGTAGAATTTGAATAAGTACGAGTTGCAGCAGTAGTGATATTTGTAGTAGCAGTAGTAGTAGAAGTTGTAGTAGAAGTATTAGTAATTAGAAGAAGAAGTAGTAGAAGTAGTATCAGTAGGCGTAGTAATAGCTGTAGTAGTGGTCGTAGTATTTAATATAACAGTAGTAGTAGTAGTAGAAGAAGTAGTAGTAATAGTAAACTCAGTTTTTGAAGTAGCAGTAGTAGTAGTAGTACTAGTAGTAGTAGTAGTACTAGTAGCAGTCATACTAACAACTGTAGTAGTAGTAGGAATAGCAGTAGTAGCAGTTGTGGTATAAGTAATAATAGTAGTGGTAGTGATAGTAATAGCAGTAGTGGTAGAAATAATAGTGATGGTATCAGTAGTAGTAGTAGAAGTAGTAATAGTAGCAACAGCAAAAGTTGCAGTAGAAGTAGTAGTAGTAGCAGTAGTAGTAGTAGTGATACTAGAAATATTAGTAGCAGTAGTTGTCGCAGTATTAGTAAGAGCATTCATTATTTCAACAAAAAAGCCTAATTTTGAGCTTAACGTTTAAATACAGTTAATCCATGAGGCTTTTATTTTGAAAGGGTGGGACTGGGTGGGGGAGAGAGGGGGAGAGGAGACATAATCTTGTTTGACACACATAAACAGAGGTTATTAAATGACAGGCTTCATCACAAGCATTTCAGTTAGAATTCACTCTTTGGGGCTTTTATTTTGAAATGGGGTGTGGGCGGGGGGGGGGGAGGAGACATAATCATAATGTTAGATAAACATAAACACATTATTAAATGACAGGCTTCATCACAAGCACTTCAGTTAGAATTCATTTTGTGGGGCCTTTACTTTAAAATGGGGTGTGTGGGGGGGAGTCCTCTTAAAATCTCTAAGACCTGAATGACTAAGAGAGAGACAGAGAGAGAGAGAGAGAGGATGAGTGAGTGAGTGAGTGAGAGGGACTCTGATCTCTCTGGCAATCTTTCTCATTTGGAGATGGTCCTATGTTTTATCTTTTACAGCTTACATGACTATTGTCCTGCGCTGCCATGTCTTTCCTCATCTCTCCCTCTTGTGTCGCGGTGTGTGTAAATGTCACTCGAATCAGGAAACTTATCAGAATACCTATATTTGATTGGCTGAGCTGCATCACGTATATCTCTAAATCATGTGTGTGCGGCTTTTATTTTAAAATGGGGGGGGTCCTCTAAAAGTCTCTAAGACCTGAATGACTGTATGAGAGACACAGAGAGAGAGAGAGAGAGAGAGAGAGAGAGAGAGAGAGACACAGAGAGAGAGAGACACAGACACAGACACAGAGAGAGAGAGAGAGAGAGAGAGAGAGGACTGCATGTGTGTCTGTGTGTTTATCAACATCACTAATTAGCTTAATCAGAAACACCTGTGTCCTTGCAGCCTTTTCATGGAGATAAAACAGGGAAACATCTCTCAAACAAATCCTCAAAACTCCCATAACCGTAGCTCCTATTGCTCCGATATTAATAAATAAGAGGAAGGATGAGTTGAAGAACAGATCCTGTAAAAATTGTGTCTGTAGTGTAAAAAATGTGGCTGAACTGGCGATCTAGAAATGGGGTACCGTGTTCTGTGGAAGATGATTTTGAAGCAAAATTTAACATTGGTCTCTATGGAGCAGAAAGTTGGTTTTCCTCTCAATAACAGGCTTCTGTGCCAAATGTGTAAATCTGTGGGATTCCACAGTCATTTGTCTACAACAAGGACACGATTAGCTACTTCTACATCCAGAAATTATGCATGAAGAGTGAAGATTGTGGACACAGTGGCAAAAGACAAATCTTTTTTTCACAAGAATCTCAAGCTGCTCTTCACTCTAGCGGTGACATCACGCACTCTAAGCTGCGCAATACACACCCATTATAAAGTCAGAAAAGGGCTGAAAAATCCTAGAAGTTAAATTGCTGCAGTTCAAAAAGTTTAAAATATATCAAAAAGCTGAATAATGTGGCAATAGATCAGGGTTTTCTCAACATTTTAAAGTTGACATGGTGTCTGTAGCTGAAAATATGAGGAAGTTGAAGGATTTGAAAGTTGAAGAAGTTTAAGAGGATTTGAATATTCACTCCATTGAAATCCCATTCAAAATTAAAATTGCAAAAAGCTTAATAATTCATAAAGCATAAGAGATATAAATATGAAAAGTCATAGCATAAATGTCATTAAAGAGCTGAACATTTTGATAGTTGAACGGTTTCTGTCTCTTAAAAAATGAAGAAGAACAAGAAGAGGTGGGACGGAAGAAATATAAGAAGAAGAATAAAGAGAAACAGGATAACAATAGTTGGAATGCTTAACAGCATTCCAAAAAAAATAGTGAAATACAGCCGTAAGAATATTAAAAGGTCTTGATAGGAGAAGCTATAACTATTATAACACGTGATATATCTGCTTATGACTACATTATAGTGTGATATAAGCATTATTAAATGTTTCTATAGTGCTTATAAAGCTGCAATGTGTAAGATCCGACCAGAATTATATCATTTGAAAATATAGCGAATATTATCAACAGAATGTGAAGAGGTGACAGTGTTGACGTTATGTCAAAGACGCCTGTGTATTAAGTTGTAGAGATATCTACTGAGTTGAGCACAAGGGCGTAGGTTTGCATATGGTCCATAGGGACTAGTCACGACCAAAGTTTGGGAAAGACACAATTGTCCCCACCAATATTTTGTTAATTTTAGTTGCCTGTTAGAAAAAATAATTTTGCACAATATTGTAATGTTCCACTTACGAGCCAAAGACAGAGTGAAGTCCTTGCAAGAGGTTTATTAACACCAACCGTCAACAATAGTGCCGAGCAACTCCAGCGAACATTATCGGTCTTGTTTAGTGTCTTTCAGCAACAACTCTTCTTCGTTGGTTCCGGTCTAACAACCTTGACTAGCTCCCAACACAGAACAGGTAACCCCCTCCTCCCCTCTGCTCCACCAATCACAGGCACGCACCTTGACTAACTGTACAGTGCGTCCCGTGATTGGCCAGAGAGAGGGAAGTGACAGCCTGACCCCTCTACTACCAGCTGTTACTGTACAGGGTCGCTACAATATATTTGCAAACTCATTCGTATTATTATTAGTGCTGGGCAAGTTAACGCGTTATTATCGCGTTAACGCATTAATTAATTAATTAATTAACGCCGACAATTATTTTATTGCGCGTTTTTTTTATTTTGAAAGTCCGTTGCTCACTGGCAGCGGTGGAGGAATGGAGACTACTGGACATCGCTGCGGTAAAGTCAGCAGACACTCAGATCTCCGTGGTCAACTCAGCAGACACTTACATTTTAGTGCACCTATATGCTGAAATTCACGGTAAACGCATTTAAACGGCACAGATCGGGAGCGAGCGAAGGACTTTGAAAGTTAGCTGAAAGATTAACGTGAGACAACATCCGGTTTCTTCAGACGAACATCCGGTTTTCAGAATAAGATGCCAACAAAGTATGAATTACATTCACATTAAGTATAAAACATGCTACCTGCATCTCGTGAGTTAAAGGGAAAATACACCTAAATTGTGCGTAAAGTGTCTTTATTCTTTAAATGCTGGGTAACCATCATCACCTCTGAGTCACAGCATTATATTGATGAACAGTAGAGCTGCATTCACATGCTCTGACTGTCATGAAGACACACATTTTTGCTGAAACTTGCTGAAACATTTTATTCCTGTTGCACAGCAGTGGAACATTTCACATACAGTCAGCACACTGAGCACAGATAGTGAAGAGATAGAACTGCTACTGTGTAAAGGGAATACTGCTGTTAAAAATAACCCTGATTTGTTTAAAGTGTTTACAAACCAAATGTTATTGACCTCTTGTTCATATAGCAGTACTTTTAAAATAAAAGTGCGCAATACACTACTTTTGAATTCATTATTGAACTTTGCCATAACTGAGATTAATCGCGATTAATCACAAAAAATACATGCGATTAATGGCG